GGCTCGATCCCAGGACTCTGGGATCATGACCTGAGCCGAAGGCAGACGCTTAATGACTGAGCCACCCAGGCGCCCCATTGTCCCATCTTTTTATTTACAACCTTTTTGAGAAATTTGTTTTATAAATGTCCCCAGTATGTAGCATATTTCTGGGTATTATTTGTAATTCATCCAGATTCTTTTTTTCTTATAGGTGAGTTTTGATTTATTTACATAACAGATGTGGATTTTACTTTGTCCTATATTTTATGTTATGCTTTTGTTGTTTTGTTTAAGACTAACTTTTTGTAATGTATTTATTTTTCAAAACTTTAGAGTGAATCTGTTGATTCCCAACTGTGAGCCAAGATGAAATTTTTGAAATCAGAGATGAATTTTTATTTCCTCTCCTCCCTCATTCTCCATATAATTTTAATTGATTACTTAATGAAACTTTATGCCTTTCTTTTTGTATTACAGTTGACACTTGAACAACATGGGTTTGAACTGTGTGGGCCCACTTACACATGAATTTTTTTCAGTGAATACCATAGAGTACTATAAGTGTATTTTCTCTTCCTTATGATGTTCTTAATAACATTTTCTTTTCTCTAGCTTACTTTATTGTAAGAATATAGAATATAATACAAATAACACACAGAATATGTGTCAATTGACTATTTATGCTATCAGTAAGGCTTCCAGTCGGCATTAGGCTATTAGGAGTTAGGTTTTGGGGGAATCAACAGTTATATGTGGGTTTTTGACTGCACAGAGGTAGGTGCCCCTAACCCCTGTGTTGCTCAAGGGTTGACTGTACTTGATTACTTATTAACCTCTAAGTTTTAATAATGATGAAATCAATGCCCTGACATTACTTTCCTTTTTATTTTCTAATTTTTACGTGTTAATTATATCATTTCAATATTTTCAAACTTTATAATATTTATATTCAGTTCTGAAATAATAATCTTCACTTTCCTTTATGTCTTAGCCCTGTATTGAGCTAGATTCACTGCATACTGCCATGACTTGTCCTGTCATCTCTAGTTGGGTTAAAGTTCATTTTCTGTTAGTCTATTGAAGAAGGGAATCACATTCCTTAAGTTCTTTCATGTTAAAAAGTGTTTGTTACACTCACTCTGAATTAAAGTCTGGCTGGGCATAACATTCTCAGGCCACAATGTTTTCCTCAAGGGTTTTAGAGGCACGGCTCCACTGTCACCTAGCTTTGCTGTGGAAAGACCAAAATGAGCTGAATTGTTTCTTCTCCTAAATAGGTTAATTGAACATTTTTCCTTTTCCTGGATTTCCAATTCTTTGTCTTTGAAAATCAGTAGCTTTACTGGGATATAACTCACCATTGATTATCTTGAGTTAATTTTTCTGGAGACATTAGCCTGCTTTTCGATCTGTATAATCATGGAAATTTTTATTAAAATTTTTATTTAAATATTTTCTTCTCTTCTATCATTTTGATTCTCTTCCTTGGTGATACCAATTATGCTTATATTTGATCTCTTTTAAAAAATCTTTCTAGTTGACCTCGATCTTGTCCTTCATGCTCCTTATCATGTTTTCAACAATATTCATTTTCTTTGTACTATTTCTGACAGGCCCTTTGTTTTTGTAGAATATTTTTTCCCATCCACTTCTTTTCTGAGCTGCACTATTTCCCCCTAAATTCTTATATGTCTATTTTGAGGTCATATTGTATAGATAAAGTTATTTCATTAAATTGTAAAGTCTTTTTCACCTGCTCTATGAAAAAATTTTTCTAAAATTATTTAATTGTCATTCATTTTTAAATTACTTTCCTGCTTTTTTTCTTGTAAAATCTTTGTTTACATCCTCTATTGATTCCTGTTTAATTATTACTCAGTATTGAATGAGATGAGCTATCCTCAGATCAAATGTTTGCTGGACTTTCATGTGGAGGAATTCTCTTCCTGACCTAGAATTGTGTGTGTAAATTTGCTCTTTTAGAAGCCTTATTCTTCCCCAGTTATTTGATCCTGGTGACTTCAAAGCTACCACAGAATTTATCTCATCCATCCTGACCCATCTGCAGCAATGGCTTATCTTTGTGGCTCACCCAGCCACACCAGCTTATCATTGAGTCAAAACTAGAACCAGAGATTATTCATCCCTAGGGAGGTATCCCTAGATCCAAATATGTGAACAAAAGCCTCATTCCAGAGATGATGTATGTGCTCACAATATAGCTCTTTTTTCATTAATGGAATATTTTCATTGTTATTTTCAAACATTTTGTATTTTCCTAAATGGATATTGCTAGTCTACCCTACCAAAGGCTTTTCTTTAGCGAAAATTTGCTCTTTAAAATTCTAACGGGATTAAATACATACATGAATAAATTTTAGGACAGATCTAGAATTGTTTCCTTGATACAAATTTTGTTATTCTATGTTTCTATGTGTGTATAGTTTATTTTAATAAATAAATTGTGATTTGCATTTTTTAATGACGTTGAAACTATGTAGTCCCATAGGCTTTTTACTACCTGATGGATTTGTTTCCTGACCCCTTGAAATCCAGCTTCATTGAAGAAAATGAAATGTTTTCTTGAGGAGAGTTCAATTTTAGACTTTGAATTATTGGGGTGAGACCAAACTTTGGTGGGTGTCAATTGACAGGTGGTATAGATGGCCATCAGGTAACATAGGTGCTCAAATGTCGGCAAAGCAGGAGAGATATGGGCAGGTGGTGGAAAAGATGATAGACATGAAGTAGGGAGGTCAATTAACAAAGATGAACTCTTCCAATAGGCAAATTTGGTAAGAACTTTAGAAGAAGGTGTATGGTGAGGTGAAGCCTAATATACCCACAATTCTTTCTTTTAACAACAAAAACTTAGAAAAGTAGTCATGTTAGAAAGAAGACAGGCTTTTGACTGCCTGGAAGATTAGTAGGAGAAAAAGTACTTACTTATGTATAACTTCTCTGTAATTGTCAATGAGGACAGTAGTGAAAAGAAACTCAAGTATTTTATCTCTTAGTCAAAGGTAAAATACTCTATCAACTGAAGGAATCCTTTGAGATGTTGTCATTTGTCATGGTGACCATATATTTCAGAGGTTCCATTTTGGAATGGATGTGGTTCCTGCCTAGGAAATACCAACATGCCCAAGTAGCTGGTAATGCTTACCTGTCACTGTTGAAGAGAGAAGCTTCTGGTTCATTCATTACTGGCATGGAAGGGTAGTTTTGTAAACCACCAGCCCAATAGAAGGTGGGCAACAAATATGAATAAAAATTCACAGAAGGGGAAAACTGATCAATAAATATTAAGAGATGCTTAAGTTGCCTTGAAGTCATCAAAATGCAAACCAATAAAATATCATTTCACAACAAATAAGTAAAAATAAAATTTAAGATATAATTCACATTCCATAAAATTCATTTTTTAAAAGTGTGCAATTCAGTAGTTTTAAAATATATTTTTAAATATATTACAGAGTTGAGGAACCATGCATACTATCTAATTTTAGAATATTTTCATCAATCCCAAGTGAAACCCTGTACCCATTAGCACTTATTCACTGTCTCCTTCCCCCAGCATCTGCCAGTCACCAATCTATTTTTTGTCTCCATGGATTTGCCTATTCTGGACATTTCATGTAAATGGAATCACACAACATATAGCCTTTTGTGACTGCCTTCATTCACTTAGCATAATGTTTTCAAAATGTATCTATGTTGTAGCATGTATCAGTACAAGCATTCCCTTGTA